CCTTGGTGGCTTTATTACTTCATCCAAAGCCTGCTAATCTGACCTCTGCTCTTTCCACTGTAAGTGCTTTTTCTATCCCTTATGGAACTGTTCTTCAGATCGCTACTGCTCCCAACTTCAACTTCTGTTAGGTAAATGGCATTTCATGTGGCCACCACCTTGCAGAGTTGGAAATGCCCCGTGTGTATGTATGTCATTAGATCTGTTCTAAACCATGGACGTATAAAGAAAAACAAGTTGCGTCTGAAATGCTAAAAGCTGACATGTTTCCCACTGAAGTTGCTTGTTGGGGCATGGTTTTCAGCCCTGGCATATTTTGGGTCTCACTTGAAGAGTTCAGTAGTCAAGGTGTTTCTTGCATGGCAGAATGCCTGGCTGGAGGGAGGTCATGGCTGTATAAGACTGCAGTCCATGCAACTAGCTGGCACATCTTCAAAAGACCATGACACAGTATGCAAAAGACAGCATCACAGAGTGGTATTTTCCAGTAGTCTCTGCTGTGAGAAGTCTTAGAGCTCCAAACACAATTTTTACCGCACTTCAGTGATTCTAAGCAGTTTATGTAATTCAAAGGCAGAGGGGGAGGTTAAACTTATTCTCCAGAACACAGCTGTGGGCAATTTCAGTATTGGATGAATCGAATTTCCTAGCAAATAAAGGTGGGCTCAGTAACCAGAGGGGAAACACAGAGTGCTGCCCTCAACATTCCACTGGGTTTATAATTAATTGAAAAAAAACCTGTTGATAAGAGTAATAGTTAAAGTAGGAAATTACTAATTAGTAACCAAAGAATGTAGTGTTTGATTCACACAAGTATTTGATTATTTCCTTTTTACTGTAATAAAAGGATTGCGACTTCAGCAAAAGTGAGTTTAAAAATACTGATATTATAATAATTGATTGTCTTTTCCTTAGCTGTCAGATTTCAAGTTTCTTGTTCTTTTTCAGAGTCATCTCAGACATTACAGGCATGAGACTTCCCAGAAAAAAATTAATTTCCTCCTTAATTGTGATTTGCAGTTTGCAGATTTTCCCACTAGATGGGAAATGATGGGGACTCAGGATTTCTGAATATCAAGTCACTTGTTCAGATGCCTAAATGTGGACTTAGGAACATAATTTCGGGCAGCACCCTAATGTTGAAAATCTCAGCTGTATGAAATAGTGAATTAAATGGTTCTTATTTGAAAATTCCTATAGTAGTTCCTTGATACCACGGTCAGCAATATGGGTTGCTGTTGTCAAAGAAAGATCTGTCAAGGTCTCTAGGCTCTATAAATATCCTAAAATTAAAAGGAATAAGGAGTAGTCTTTGACAGGAAAAGTCAGAATATGTTTACACATAACAAACAGGTCTATTCTGTACCCTTTCTTGCTAATTTTTATTAATGCATATAGGGTCTTTTGCATGATGATAATAGTTTGAAATCAAAATAATATTTTCCTATCTGAATCAATTGGAGTAGCATTAAATAAAGACTCACAGAATGAAAACCAAGGTATGATCCTTTGTAGGAATTTCTTTAACAGAAGAGGAGTCTTATATTAGCTTCCTGTTGTAGTTCAGATGTTTGCAATATAAGCAAGCTGTGCCATACCAAAACAAATTGGTTTATAAACATTACCAGTACAGATTTCTGGATCTTTTCTGAAAGGGTTTCACTGTAGTCTGCAATAAAAAACAATCTATAAAGTATCTGGAGTACATATCCTTTCTGCAGCAAATCTCTGAAAAGTGCTAACATGTTATAGTGGCCTGCTTTTATGCTTTTGTAGCCATAACAAATGACATGGTCTTTTCTTACTCCAGATATTTTGTAGACTTACTCCAGATATTTGTAGATAAGTGAAGACTATGACTTGTATTTCTATAACAGGCCAGCATAATACCGTGTTTGCATTCCTTTTCTAGTAGAAGCTATTATAGATCTTTTTTCAGTACTATAGCATTCTAGTCATAATTTCTAATTTACATATTTAGCATTAAAATTCGTGCTTTTTAGGGTTTTTTTTTTACAGTAATTAGATCGGATTTTTCTAGTCAATGTTTGGTATATGCATGTCTGGCCAGTTAATACTCTTTTTCTTAATCCATAATTTATTTTACCTGTTGATCGACATCTTCAATAGCCCCTCAGCTATTTTGTGTATGCATGCTGATCTTTTATAAATCTTCACTTAGGCAAATAAAAATCAAGTTACATAGTCTAAAAATGAGAGAATTAAAATAAATTATTGCATCAGTTGTATGCAAATAAAGTTATTTCATTTCTTCTAGCTTTTAAGATGTCAAAAAAATGTTCATTTTAAGTGATACAAAGCATTCACAGGTAGCATAGAATGCATTCCCATATATGTTTTTTAGAGACTGGAATGAGAACACAAAGCAAACAATAGGACTGAAAGTGAATAAGGGAAGATTAATTACTTAGACACAAATGGGGTTTCTGGGGTATTAGGGCTGAAGGTAACTGAGGAAGAATTACTCTGATCAAAGGGACAATCCATTGTGTACAAGAAACAGCAGACAAGGAATTCTGTGTTACTCGGTCACAGTGAATGTTACGTATGCTAGAAATATTTAGCATAGTCCATGGTCAGTAAAAGGAAACTTGTTTCACTCCCATTTCCATGGACACGTAGACAGAGACAAACCATTGCACTTGTTTGGTACCCATTGCAGGACAAGTGCAAAGTCCTGTACCTTGGATGGAATAATTACATGCATAAATACAGATTGGTAACTGACTGGCTAGGCTGCAGTGCTACAGAGAAGGACTGGGGGGTTACAGTGGAGGTTATAGGCTGAATATGAGCTAACAGTATGGTATTGTTACAAAAAAAGGCCAACAGCCTACTGGGTTGTATTAACAGGATTGTTATTTACAAATCAAGGCAAGTGATTCTTTTGCTTTAATCAGCACTGGTGAGGCCTCACCTGGAGTATTGTGTCCCATTTTGGGCCCCACACTTCAAGAAGGATGTGAACAGTTTGAAAAGAGACCAGTCAGTGCAACAAAAATGACTAGGGGCCTGGGAAACATGGTTTATGAGGAAAGGCTGAAAAATCTAGGGTTATTTGGTCTGGAGAAGAGAAAAGACTGAGAGGAAATTTGATTAACGGTCTTTAGATACCTGAAGGGCAATTTAGAGAAGGTAGAGATGGGCTTTTGGCTCTGTAACTGTAGGAGCAACAACCTCAAACTGCAGCGGGGGAAATTTTAGTTTGGAGATTAGGAGGAGCTTATTGACTACAAATGTGGTTGATCATTGATACAGGCTACCTGGGGAAGTTGTGGAATCAATATATTTAGAAATTTTCAAGAGCAGGTTAGGCAGGCACTTGACTAGGATGGTTTAGTCAGGGATAATCCTGTTTTAAACAGAATGGCCCTATGTTTCTGCAAATCCCCAGTGTTCTATAACATATACAAGTGAAAAAGAGAGGGACCATCCAATTCTTAACTTGGCAAGGTAAGAAATGGAAAACACTCTCCCTTCTTCTATAAATGTTTTATGCCTCCAATTAATTTGCATTGCCTTTGCCCCACCTGGGTAGCAAGGGAAGTGTAGGTTAGATATTAGGAAGAATTTTCGTACTAGGAGGGTAATAAAACACTGGAACAAGTTACCCAGAGAGGTGGTAGTGGAATCTCCATCCTTGGAAGTTTTTAAGACCCGGCTAGACAACGCTTTGGTTGGGATGATCTAGTTGGGGATGGTCCTGCTTTGAGCAGGGAGTTGGACTAGATGACCTCCTGAGGTCTCTTCCAGCCCTAATTTTCTGTGATTCTATGATATTAATCCTAGAGCCTCAAAACACTTCCTGAGCTTTGAAAATGACTCATTAAGACAATAGGAAGTGAAATAATCACAGTAGGTTGGTACCCTTTATCAAGAAAACCTGCCAACACCACCTTTCCCTGTAAGCAGGGGCTTTCAGTGTAAGATCTAGAAACCGTGTAAGATCTAGAAGCAACTGAACATGTCTCAACTTAAATATCCGGTTTTTTACCTAACACAAAACTAAAAGGACGAAAGATCACAACCTCATCTCTCCAACAGAAAACCAGATGGTCACTTTTTTTTTGTTGCTATAATTTTTCCAAAGCATAATGTATGACTTTGTTGTGATTATTTTTTTAACTACAAAATAGGAAGTTTTAAGAATAGATTGGTTTCCTTTTAGTTTTTGACATGATGTGTCCTAGTCAAAAGTCTAGTTTGATTTTATATTGTGGGGAAACAAAGGCTGCTAAGTGGGATAGAAAAAAGGCTTATAATGTAAATGTCTTTCCAGATATCTTTCCCAAGCTTTTTGTTCTGACTAAGAATTAATGTGCTGATCAGCAGTTCTGCAGTTAGCAGCCTAGCTCTTGCAGGACACAGAAATCATGATGTAATCTCCCTCTCTCAGCTAAATCCTATGATAACGGTAATAACCCTTCAGCAATATCTCTACTTATTGTTGTCATTTCTATTTTAGGGTGTGAACGGAATGTCTGTGGATGAGAAGACTGAATCCCCCATGTATGTGTATGAGTCAACAGTCCATTGTACCAATATCCTCCTGTGCCTCAATGACCAGCGGAAGCAGGATATTCTCTGTGATGTGACTTTGATTGTGGAGGGGAAAGAGTTCCGAGCCCACCGAGCTGTGCTGGCTGCTTGCAGTGAATACTTCTTGCAGGCGTTGGTGGGGCAGACGGAAAATGACCTGGTTGTCAGCCTGCCAGAAGAGGTACAGTATGTCATCATTCTTCTGTTATCAAAACAATCCTCTCTTACACATGATTGAAAAAGGTTCATGATCTGCTACTTACTAGCCAACTAAGCCTCAATAGACGAATCCAAATATAGCACAGATTCTAGGTTCTGACTCTATCATGACTGTTGCTATGATTTTTCTGTTTCGGTTGGTTAAGAGTTGCTGGATGCCCCTCGAGAGAAAAAGAATGAACATATTCACAGAACCTTCTCTGCTGGAAAAAATCAGCCAGCAATTCTAACAGTTACTATAGCAAAGCTTTAAAATTGTTTGAGCTTGCCTTTCTCACCACTGCTGAAAGGGTAATACCCAAACAGAGGTCACTTAATTACTATAGCTCCATTCAGTACGTTATGGAGTTATAGTACATTCAGCACCCTGATATTCTTCTGGTTTTCTAGATGGGAAATTTTTAAAAGGGTCATTTGGCTCTCAAAAATTGGGTTATTATTTAAAAATCACTTAAACCATCATGTTATTTTGAGCCTGCTTGCCACCCACCCTGTTTCAGCAACCAGTGTCCTGGTTCTTCTTTTTTCCTTTGCCTGTATCACTCATTCAGCCTGGCTTCCATTCTCTTCCACTCACCACTCATCTGACGTTTAACTGCTTTGAGCCAAATGATTTATGCTAGCAGGACTAAGCTGAACATTCTTTTGGAACACAAAGTTATAGGGTTTTTTTGTCCTTACGCAGAGTGGCTCAAATACAAAGGGGCAGAGTAACCTTACAGACGTAACTCAAAAGTTAACCCCTTTTTGTTGGTTGATTGTTTGTTTGTTGCCCACAAATATGCACAAGCTGGTTTCTAATTTTTGTGGTTTCCTAGTAGGCATCAGTCTAAGCTGTCCTGACTGTCACAGGATTCTTGTGCTTTTGCCACAAGAAGTTTACATCATGGCCCTTTACATGTACATTAGAGTTCTACACTGTTTCTCTGTTCCCCTACTGCGTCACGGTGGAATTATGCCACAAGATAATTCACCTAGTGCAAATGTACCCTCTTGTTCCATTGTGCAAGGATGTCATTCTGGTTTACTTGCTGGACAGGTAGTTCTGAAGCCAGCCAATCCCTTGGTAAGCAAGTGTTATGGAATGAGACACACCTCGATTCAGTAGAGGTTACTTTATACCTATTGGACCTGGAAGAATGGTTTTAAATTATGACATAACTAATAATGCCATTTACCCCATGAGTTGGTTCGGCTTGGGCTCTTATTAGTATTAATACTATAGCTTTGAAATCATACCATGGCACTGTTTGGATCCAGTGTGATTTCAGGTTATGAATACATTGTAGCCCTGACTGTATGCACAATGCTTTGAGTAGGCCGTATAGTATGTATGCCTTATGTTTCCGCACAGTGGCAGAAGTTAGGGCAGGGTGGCACTTAAAGACCAGCTGATTCAGAAAGGCAAGGCATGAGCTTTCATAGGCAGCAGCCTGTTTCATCAGATGCTGTCATCTGATGAATGATACCTACCTGTCTTCTCCCTGACTTCAGACTAAAATGGCTTAACCACCTTTATTTCTACATAATGCTAGTTAGTTAATCTTCCTATAGAAAATCTTAAGAGGGTAGTGAATTGTCTCTTACTGCAAAGCAATTTGGGTAGTAAAAAGGGACCAGAAAACACACACAGAGGCAGAAGATGAAAAGAGAGAGGGAAGTATTAACGTAGTGGTGCAAATCCTGGCAAGACCTCATCTTGAACACTAAGTACAGGAGACCCTCGCCATTCACGAGGGGGATACATTCTCCTATCCCCTGCAAACGGTGAAGTCCATGAATAAGGCACTGCATTCATGAATGCCGTCTGCGTTCATGAATGCCATGCCCCTGGTGGCTGGTGGGGTGGGCACAGCTGTGCTGGCAGCAGTGGGAGCACAGTGGCAGCAAGCGCAGAGCTCCCGAGGAGCTCCTTTAAGTGTATTTAAGATGCAGATTTGGCAATCGCGAATATTTGAAACCACAAATGCTGAACCTGTGAATAGCGAAGGTTTCCTGTACTCTTAAGAAAGATGAACTGGAACAGGTGCAGAGGAAGACTACTTCCTTGATCAGGCGAATGGACTGCCTATCTCATGAGAAAAGATTAAAAGAGCTTCGCTTGTTCTGTGTAGCAGAATGAAGGCTGAGAAGGGAATACAATTGCTCTCTATAAATATGTTGAAGAAGGTAAACATCGAGGTGGGAGATGAGCTATCTAAAGCTTGCTTGTGTCAAAGGACAATGGTGGCTCAAGAACAAATAACTATTAACTGGTTACAAATATGGAGTGGAAATTAGAAGGTTTTTGCTGCTTAGAGCAGTCAGATTCTGGAATAGCCTATGAAGAAGAGTAATGGAAGTAAAAAACCTAGATAGTTGTAAAATGGAGATTTGGTCTGTTTGAGAAGCATTACATGATGAAGTTGCCTGTAATAGTATGGGACTAAACTAGGGGTGTGCCAATAAAGATTTTGGGGCCTGATACCGATAGCCAAGTTTTAAGGAGGCATATTGGCCGATACCGATCCAGTTTCTGACACAGCATGGAGAGCTGTGCAGCTGGTAAGTCTTTTGTGGTGGAGGTGGGAGGGAAGGGGCATAGGGGGCAGATCAAGACCCCCACAGTGAGGGAGGGAGTAGGACTGGGGCAGGCATTGACCAGCCAGGGCCC